CCACCGGCCCCCTGCTCGGGACGGACCCCTCGTGCCCTGTTCCGGCCACGCAGAGGAGATGGACACGTGCACACAGAGGGCAAGGGGAACACTTACATTCACTCTGAATATTTGCTGTTATTCCCAAAGTGCAAGCATAACGAAAAAAAGAAAAAAGGTTAATTGAAGAACAAACCTATATACGTCACGTACACAAACATAGACATGTATAGTTATTGTAGGGCTTACAAATACTACACACAAACCATTTTACAATTCAAGCATGTTCTAACCTACCTACTTACTGTCCACATGGGAGAAGCTGCTGCTGAGCGGTCCCGTTAGCTGTAAACTGCCTCTGCAGCAGGGGTTTTGGGGGGTCAAAAGAAGGCACAGGCATACTTGCACCACTCGCCTGCAGGCATTGGTGGCCCCGTGGTCCAGTGGGTCATCCGCAGGAGTTAACAACATTCCCCGCTTCCCTATGCCCCCCAAGTCAGAGGCTAATATGTGCCTGATAAACCCTTAGCTGGGTTTTTAAGTGATAGCCAAACTCAGAGAAGGTGCCTGTAATATAGGGAGATATATATATATCTCCTGTCTCCAGGACAGGGGCAGGCAGGATTTTATCCAAAGAAGAAAACTCGTTAGAGTTGGGGCAGGGAAAAAGCACCTAGGCAGGCTTAAAAGAAAGAGCAAATAGTGCAGCTCCCCCTGACACAGGGCGAGCGAGGGCTGTTCCCTCTGCTGTGAGGGGACCCAGATGCCCATGCATCTGCCCTCTCCCAGGCTGCTTCTGCTCTTAAAACATAAGGTCTGGGGAGCAAAATGCTTCCCTGGGGAGATCTCCCACTCCCGAGGTGTGTCAGCAAGGTCAACAAAAAAAAGACCCCCCCGGGGCCGGCAGCAGCTTTCCCAGCCCCCTCCTGCCAGTGGGGACCGGGCCGAGCCCACACCCCAGCACTGGATGAAGGAGCTGATCTCCGTGGAGGGAGGACTTTCACAGCTGATGGTACATGGGGGATAAAGCTCATGCACTCACAGAGCCTGTGATCTGCACGTTTATCAGCCCCTGCACAAAGCTGGAGCAGCTGGGGCTGTTTACACACCACCTGGTCAGACCTGCAGCCATTCGAGTGCAGGCGATGCTTTCATCAGCTCAGCCTCGCAGATGAGCAGTGGGTAAGGGAGCCCTGATCACCAGGTGGCTTAAACAGGAGCTGAAAGCAAACCCCGGAAGGCTCTGAAGGTCAGGATGGAAGTAAAACGAAGCTGATGCTCCATGTGGCCAAAAGAGCTAAGGGAGGTTGGGAAGGGCCGGCTGGCGGGGGCAGGCATCGGCAGGATGCCTAACCCTCGCCCGGGGCTGGGAGATGCTCCTCTCCCCCCTGCACTTGGCACTGCCGTGTGCAACTGCCCCCATGCACGTTGTTTACAAACATCTGTCGTGCAAGGGACCTGTTCAGGAAAGGATGACAAAAGGACGCCCTTAGTTACGATCCCAGTTTCCCACCAGCACTGGAGGGGACGATGCGCTCCTGCAGCTCAGTGCTGTGCAGCAGGGAGGAGGCTAGAGAAACGGTGAGCTGATCAGAAATGGTGAGCTGCTGCAGGCTGCCTTGAGCGTTTCTCCACCAGCTGTCAGCATTTCTCTTACTTTTCTAAGGTCGCATTACATTTAAGTAGCAAAATACTTTAAGGACTCCTTTCCTGATGCAAAGCACAAGAAATGGCAGAAGGCTGTTTGCAGAGCCATTCCATTTTCCCCAACTGCACTGGCCCCTGCTTCCATGCCAGCTGCCTGCACTTCTGGAATATTAGAGATGCTAACAAAGCCAGGCCTGAAGGAACCACTGAGCTGTGTGATTCAAATAAAATTCCCATTGCTGGGAACAAGAGCGCCCTGTGGTATTACAGCACTGACTGCAGGGGAACAGATATTTTCATCCACAATCATCTGGAATGGAGCAGAGCAGCGACTCAGACTCAAGTCTGGGACCCTCTCCTTTTCAAGTAACATAAGTATTTATTCCGCTCTGCAGATCAGAGCTTTCTCACCCTTTCTCTTCAGTTATTTCCAAATTTCAGCCAAAAGCCACTGCCTCAAATTTTTCCTTCCCATTTTGCTGCCCGGAGTCAGGGATCAGCTGAGGTACCACGGCTACAGCCAGCACACCCAGGACTCCACAGAACAACAACCCACAGGGTAGAAATTTCTCCTATCAAGAGCAACCCTGGCATTTGAGGCTGAATTTAGACCCCAGCAAAAAGCTGTGCTTTTTCTACTAACGCCCTGCTCGCTGGAGGATTTCTGTGCATTGCACTGTTGGAAGAGATTCCCTGCAGCGACAGGCTGATTATTATTAACAGCCGCTACAGGAGGAAGCTGGGACACAAAGAAATTATGAAACTGGTTTCCAGAACATTTCCAGAACAGCGGCTGAGCAGCTCTCAGTACAAACCCCCGCCTCAAGTGCATTCAAACAAGTCATGCGTTTCCCATGCGCTGGCCTGAAGATGCCCATTCAGCAGAAACATCGGCCCATGTCCCCCTTTCTCCTCGCTCAACATCCCCCAGCTCCTCTGAATAAGACATAACTCCCCTCTCATAATTAACTGAAAAGTCTCAACAGAGAGAGAGGAAAAAAATCACACTGCTCTGCAGGACCTGCAGTGGGGACCCGGGTGCCCTCAGGGACCTGGGTGTCAGATCGTGGCAGCAGCTGCCCAAGCAGATGAGCAACGAGCTCACGTCCTCCACGAAGGAGCATCCCGAAGCCTGCCCGTGCTCTGTAGGAACACCAGGAGTCCTGGGATGCTCCACTGAAATCAACAGGCTGAAGACTTGCCGGGACCCCATTTCTTCACCAGCCTGGCTCAGATGCTCTGTCCCATTTTGACATGTGGGTTTGAGTCCTTCGCTCAGCTTTTGAGATAAACTAACTAAATCAGAGAGTGACTTAGGTGACTTTCTGGAGGGTGTGTAGTTTAAGAAGAAAAAGAGCCCCAAACAAACAACAGGAAAGAAAACCTTAGGCTGGACCAGGAAAGCCGCCTGGGCTGTGCACATCTTCGCTCCCTCCTCAACCATTGCAGCAGGAGTTTTTAGAGGGGTAAACCATAACTTACAATCCAGAGGGACTTCGATGGTGCTGACGAGGTGATGAAGGTAGAGAGCGAATGCTATTCCTGCGCAGGTGAGGTGGTGTCTTTGCATGACCATTTTGGACGCCTGGGCGGCGTTAGGACCTCAGTTGCGTCCCCCGAGGCGAGCAGACCAGCGGCAAGTGCAGACGGATCCTCAGCTGCAAAATGAACACAAACCCAGAGGTCACTGAACTGTTTACAGCTCCATTTCTGTCATCTTCCTTTTGGCAACTGTGGAGAGAGAGTGTTTCCAATCCAAAAATATTTGTGCGGAGGGACGGGGGTGTGAATAGCGCCAGAAATAGCTTCCAGGCTGTGGTGACCCAGGTAGAAGCCCATGGTCACTGTCCTCCCAACCCCTGAGTGGCTCTGCTGGCAGAAAATGAGCCTTATGGGGTTACTTGTGCTCAAACCCTGGAGAGACCTCTTGGATGGAAGGAGAAGGACCATGCTGTCCCCTGGGACTGATGGGAAGTTACTCAGAGCAAGTGAATACAAAGGCAGCAAACAGTCCCCATAGGATAAAATGAAAAGGACGAAATGCTGTTTAAAAAAAAATAAGTGTATTTTATGCACAAGAAATACCTACATAGCAAACATCCGCTCCCTCTGGCGGGGCGCCGGGATGAGCTCTGCCTCAACGTGCAGCCCGCCAATAGCAGGGGGACGGGCTCCAGAGACCCCCTCGTGTACCAAAGAGCCTGTCACCGACCCGGCACAGCCCTAGCAGGAGTCGGGGCGCGGCGGGACCTTTCCCGACCGGTCTCTAAACGAGCCTGTTTCCAACCGGGCTCCAGCTGCTTCCCTCCCCAGATGGTCCCTGGTGCCAGATGCGCAGCACGCCGCTGCCGGGCTCCCAAAGGCACCCATCCAAACCTCCTGGTGACTGTCAGGTTATCATTTGCATTTTCCATACACGTACCTTTTATTTTGCTGTTAATAAACCCATAGACTAAACACAGATGAAAAAAAGAGCGAAAAGGGAGGATAGATTATCCTGTCTGTACAATAAAAGCCCCCTTAGAAAGGCTGCTGTGGCACAGAGGTTGCATCACGGCGGAGTTACAACTCTCTGTAATAGAGTTATGAGAAGGTCACCAGCCGCGCAGACAGCTCTCTCGGCTAAGAACAAAAATAACGCCAGGGCAGCAAACAGTGGAAAATCCCCAGCCTTGCTCCGCGCCGCTCCTCCCTGGCCCTTGCACAGGCTTTCGACGAGGTGGGATGTCACCAGGCAGGGGAGCCGCGCAGAGAGGCCATTTGGCAAGCAAGGAGAGCCCGTCTTCATGAAATATAAATAACCGGCTGCAGCTTTGGATGCTGCTACCCCTTCAGCTGTTCCCGAGCCCGGTACGAAGCAAGTGCGGGAGGGAGGGGGGACCCAGCACAACAGACAAAACCCGGCGAGCGCGGGGCTGCCGGGGGACTCCGGGTACCGCAGGGAACGCTGCTGGGAGCCAGTGAGGAGCAGATGTCGCGGAAAATAGCCCTGACACATGGCCCGGGAAGCTCTCCTGAACCCCAGACAGGATCAAACTCAGCGCAAGACAACTTTTAAGGACACTTTTCCCCCATTACCCTTATGGGGAACAAGATGTGCTTAATAGTTTCTCCATCCAGCCCTCCTCACTGCCCTGCTCGGGTGTGATCGGGGTCTCCATGTCCCCGCTCTTGGGCTGAAGCCCAAAGGAACTCACTGTCCCAGCGTGTCCCAGTTACACCAGATGACAGATTGTAGGTTGTGAAGGGGCTTGGAGGGGCGTGTTGCTTTGATCTTTTTTGCTCGTTTTAAGGATTTTCCAATCCAGCTGTTGCAATAAAAATAGTTGAAGGACAGAATAATTGTAGGACTGGGCCAGTAATTAAAGTCATGTCCAGGACTTCCACAGCCCTGCGATCAGGTCATGCTGAACAAAGCTTTTCAAATTACTTCTTTAGCTTTCTGTCTAAGGGAAGATATCATTTTGATCTGTAGCCTTCATTTTTCAAAGCGGTTCATTTCTCCTGTTACAGCTTAAAATGAGTAATGGATCGGCTGGTTTTATGCCTTTCTGTTACTAAGCACAAGTCTGACTTATGAACTGAATCAGCCAACACTGCAACCAGAGATTTAGCAAGGCTGAGATTTCTAGTGTCCTTACTATGCTCACGTACTGATGCTCCACATCACTATCACAAAATGTTTTAAACCCCTCTTCATTCACAGATGTAGCAGGGGAGAGAAGGTGCAAGACAGCAGGCATTTAAATAGCGCACATCTCTACATGCTGCTTTGAGCCTGAAAAGCAAAGGATATGTTGTTTTCTTTAGACTGGGTACTAGTTGGTGTGAAAGAAACAGCCGTGACAGTAAGGAGTTGGTTCCTGGCACAGATGCTTGGGAGATATTTGTATGTACGTGCATATACGGGTGATTTTGCGTTAAATGGGGATACAGAAAGGACTGAGCCCAAACACTGATACATACAGTACATACAGGAGGCATCTGGGCATCTAACTGATGCAAAAAAGTATATCCTACCCATCATCACATGCACGGAGACTAGAAAAGTAAGGGCTGTGCATATCAGGAAGAGAGAAATTTGCAGACAACTTTTGAGCTGCAAAAGGGAACAGCAGGCAGACGGCGGCTCTGGACTGAAACCGTGGGCAGTGCTATGTGGGAATGACCCGGGCGCTTCCAGTGCCGGTGGACCGGCCAGGAAGGACGGCCCGTACGGCATGGGTGACCGCACGTCCACGCGGAGCGGCACGGACCGAGAGCAAATAATAAAACCCACAACAGGGCACACACAAAATGCATCCCCGCCTTTAGAAGAGCGAATGCCGGGCTGCTCCAGGGCCCCTTTGTCTCGGGCAGATGTGGGTGCGACTCACTGCGCATCAGGAACAATCTGCTGCCATGCTTGTGCGTGTAGGTGGGTCCTGGGGACAGGCGGTGCCACGAGCCCCCAGCCACGCAGAACACAGCCCACATTGTCAGGGCTGCTCCTAGCCTGGGGACAGGGACATCTCCCCAGCACAGAGGGCTGGGGCTGCAGTAGGGGCACGAATATGCTTATCTGGGGATGCTAAGAGTCGTGAAGCTGTCTGATGTCTTCATCTGCTTTGAGACTGACTCAACCCAAAATGGCCCCTGCAAAGGGGCAGATGAGACCTCTTTTTCCCAGACTTAGCATTTCTTAATCGTTGCTCCTGGCCCTGTTGTGCAACACAGAAAAGATTTGATTGCTGCCCGAAGAGCTGAACAAGCCCTTCAACCTCATATCTGCAGCCGTGTCCTGGGATGGCCAGAGCTGTGAAGGCGGGAGGGTTGAGTCTGGGGATGCTCAGGAAGCCTCTGAGCTGGCTGGACCCAAAGCCAATCCAAAATCTGGGCCCGTAATGTTCAGTAACAACACAACACAGAGCAAAATCTCACACAAATAGTTGCAAGACTGTGATGCCATCAAACAGGAATTTAACTGCTTAAATGCATTTCTCATCCAGCGTTGAGCCTGCACCCGAGCACCAACAAATACAGGCAAGACACAGCAGTGAGATGGACTCAGACGCCTTTTTCCCCAAATACTTACCCAGAGTTCAGAAGTGTTTTTCAGACCTGTTGGTGCTTTCCATTTCCCTGATGACCCACTGCAACATCAGTTCCCATCAACTGTTAGTCTGGGTTGAGAAACACATCCCAGACCTTGGCCCAGACCTCTCTCCAGATGCATCGGATACTTTTGTAAATACATTTTTCTCTGGACAAAAGCACGAGTAACCCCAGGACTCTTTGCAAAATCCAACCAAATATCCACACAGCATGGGGCACATCTGAAATCAAGAGGTGGATGTGCAACCTTGACTCTGCTCAGTTCGGAGCCTCTGTCCTCTCTCTGAACAGGCACTGGAGAGAAAAAATTAAATACAAGAAAGAAAAAAAAGGGACGGACACCTGGGGATGACGGAGACACCCATGATGGGGCTGAAATACAGATGCTGAGACTCAATGGCAGCAGTGCCTGTCCCAGCTGAGGACTGGGCGACCAGGATGGGAACTGGAGGGTTTGGAGAGGATTTGTGCTTTCCATAGAAAAATTAGCTACAGTTTTTAATCTTGTGCAGCAGTCAGGACAAATCAGCTTGCAAGAAAAAGAAGATCCAAGAGGGAAATATCTTGCTCTGCATAGGCCATCCTGCATTACAAAACACACGGGCAGAGGACCATGTCCTGGCATCGTGGGTTTTCTGTTCTATTTTAAAGGCAGAGGGCCATTTTTCTTGCATTGTCAAATGTTTTCAAAATAAATCTGGATTTTCAAATGGTAGCGCAGCAGGTAAGCACCTGCCCCAAGGGTCGGTGGAGTCAAGAGGAGGTACGAAGAATCAAGGGGTATCGGATGCTCGTGTGGCCTGGCAGAGCCCAGCCTGGCCCCGGGGAGCCCCATGTCTCCCCGCCAGCAGGGACAAGCCCCCCAAGACACCCTCTCCCAAGAGGTGCTGACGGCCAGAGCAGCCACCAGGCGAATGTGCCTTGATTATCCGAACAGCCATGTGGTGGATGGGGTGCCACTGAAACTACACCTGGTCCATATGCTGTTACAGGGTCGTTGCCCTGCTCTGCTGCAAGTTTCACACTCTCAAGTTTCTCCTTATGTAAAGACAACGCTCGCATACCAATAATTAAACCAGAAAACGTATCCAAGCACTTTGTCTGTAAGCCATTCAAAATCTGCAGTGAAAGGGAAAAAAATCAGCTTTTAAAATTCTTTTAGGTCCTTCTCCATCTCTTAAGAGCCCTGCTCCAGCATCAGGAGTGCTGCGGGTGGTACCAGTAGAGAAGGGTTTCTCTGCAGGCGCTGCCTCCTCGCTTCACAGCTCCTCGGGGACGCCAAGCCAGCACAGCAGGCTTGCGTACCAGCCTGGCAGAGCTGCAAACCTTCACAGCCATAGAGAAGAAACATTGATTCTCTATTTCTCCACGCACATGTCGATTTAACATGTACATTGTGTCCTCCCTGCCGTGAGATGGGGGAAATCTCTCCTTTCCACAGATGGTGGTGAGCTGAGCTAGCAAATCCTCACACCCCAGCCC